TAAAATTGACAAATGAGTGGGTAAAAATTGTTCGATTTCACTACTTCAAATAAAGTGGTACTTTAACAACGAGTTTTGAGTCGATTAAATGATAGTTTACCATTCGCGATAGAATAAAATAATTTGAAATACACATAAAAACATATTCAAAACAAGCTTGCTTGGCCGCCACGCCATATTGAATTTTCCTTTTTGACAGATTGATTAATTGCCTAATAGGAAATTCCTAATCTAGTTTTATTTGTCTGTTCAAGAAGCGACATAGAGTGTCTGTCGTTTTTAATCTGACACTTTCCGTATGAGGAGCGAGGGGGTGAAGCATATGGCAAAAACAGGTGGGACATCAGGTGACCATTGGCGTTCTAATGTAGGGTACGTACCAGCTCACATTCCTATGGAGTATCAGATTGAAATCGACAGACTTTACGTTTAGTCACAGAACGACTGGTACTTCTAAATAGGTATTAAAATTTCTATAGCTATAGTAGGTGCAACAATATACCGCTGACTCTTATTGCAATAAATTAACTACCTGGATTAGACCCTATTGTAAAGGCATTGTTGAAGGTATTATTGCAGTCAGAAGATCAACGGTATATTGTTGCATACCTTTCTATAGCTTCAGTAGTATTGCAAGCCTCACTACGTTCGGCTCGCAAACCTACTGCTTCAAAAAAGTGAGCTTATACAACAATACAGGGTGACACAAGGAATAGGGAACTAACTTTTTTAATGAATAAATTGAAAATTTGAAATTTGGGGAGCTTAAACGAGGCAACTTTTTGAGTTTTTTAGAAGTAAATTGCGTTACTACTGTTACTAGTCACTTCCGGTTAAACCGAAAGTGGCCATAACTTTTAATTTTCAAATGGGACACCCGGTATTTTTTGAGTTTTCTGGCATCAGCAGAAACAACGACTTTTGAGAATCCTCATGGGTGCAGGATAACGACTTTATAACATTGTTTATAAGGGGAAGGGGAAGCTCGCCTCAGGCGTCGCCAGATGCGAAATGTTTTTTCTAGAAGCGTGCGAAAAGTGTTTTTTTCTCCACGCATTTTAGGCCATGAAAATATCACTTTTCGCACTAGTGCGGAAAAGTGAAATAATTATGCAATGTTGAGTCTCCTGGTTCTTTCATGTTCTAAAATATGCTGCGAAAAACGTACTTTTCCTCATTTTATTTCTACGCACTGCGCACACGCTCCAGGTGACGTTTTGTTTTATTTTAGCCGCCTCTGTCAACTGTCAGACTGTCACTGTCAACCAATGAACTATACGCACGGCGAAGGACTTATATTATAAAAGATCCCCGCGATGTATCGAAAAAATTATACCGATATTATTTTCGATATTTCGAATGTAAAATATCGATTAAAATATATCGATATAATTGAGTAAATACATATTTCAATATTTACAAAACATCGATATATCATTGTCAACTCTATACCCACCCGCAAAACTAAATAATATGGCATACGGCGCAAGCGCCGGACCATAGAGAAATATAAGGTCTGTTCGCAGAGAAATCACAAACCAGTCAGAGTGAATCTCATTGGTTGAAACTAGTTTTCTGACTGTTTCTGATTGTTTTCAACCAATGAAATGCGCTCCGACTGGTTTTTGATTGCTGTGCGAACAGGCCTATGATAAACCAAGGTGAGAGTTACCGATTCTGTGGTGCGACATCGCATCGCGATGACGTCATATCGATACTAGCGCCACTATCCACTACAAGACCAACTTAAATAATATTTGGCGGGCTTTTTGAACTTTCAGATTATAGTCTTGTTATTTTTGAAGGCAGAAATCTAGCCCAGCGTTTTTCCGCAGTCGACAGAAAAAAAAATGCGGGAAAACGCTGGCCTAGAAACAAAAATAAATAATCAAAAAATTTCCATGAATCTACAGTGTGCGCCATAAAGTTGGGTACATATGGGAAAATTCTAAATTATTCCTTTTTTCAAAAAACTTTTTTGGGGGATCGTTTAGGCATGTTCGATAACCAAAAAATCGATTATGACACATGTCATGCGCATATCGGTTAAGCGGGAATTTTGAAAAAAGTTGATATTGATGTCGAAAAACGGGTAAATTTGACAAGATATCAAAAAAATTTATAAGAAAAAGTTGTTCAGAATTCAAAAAGAACTTCACATGCCGATTTTGAAGCAAATCAGAGAAAAAAAAATAAAACTACTTATTTTATCCATACCATTAAATGGAAAATCGAAAATATTAATTTTATTTCAAAAATAGCCTTATTCAACATACATAAGTTTGATATCAAACGAATCAATTGTTTTGCGAAATACACACTTGAAGGGCATAAATTAGAAAATACCGTCCGGTCGTGTCGCTATAACTGTACCCATAGAGAAATATAATAAACCAAGGTAAGAGTACCTGATTGATAACATGAAAGTTTGTATAGCGCTGACGTCACAGCGACGGTGGCGTCAATAGTGACAGCCGGAACAAATACTGAAATGGCGGGAATTTTGAAATTTGACTTGAGTTGATTGCACAATAAACTTATGTTGTTCCACATCTTTTTTTCTCAAATCCGAATGAGAAAAATGATGTGGTGCTCCATAAAGTTTTGTGTCATTTTTTGATGTAGGTAGATTAAAAAAAAAGGCAAAATAAACACTAAATTGTACTAGAAAAAATATATATTATAGGGATCAAATACCTAAAGAGTTTACAAACACAGTTATTACATCCCTTATAAATGCTTTAATGTATGTACAACCTAAGCTGGCCAAGGCCTAACATCTACATTTTATCTCTTCTGACTGAGGTCTCCTAAAACAGTAAAAAAATATGCCGTATATCACAAAACTAACATGTATACTTACTGGTTCAGTTTATCCTAGTTGTACGTTGTACATAATATTATAGGTACGCGATACCGAGTGCCTTTAATAAAAATGAGAATTTCTTCTTCTTGTTCTTTAGATTTTGTGAGTTCGAGTCTTCTAGACAACCGCCCAATCGGTTAAAAATGACAAATTTCAACACGGAAATGTCGTTATTTTAAGGTTACTTCCCGCGTTACTTATTTGTTTTCTCGGTCACAGTTTCTATAGTTATGAATGTTTGATAGGTTTCTACAAAACAGCTAGGAAAGCTCTGTAACTCATACGGTGTCCTTGTCTTGTGAATTGGTATGACAGAGAAAGATGAAACAGAATCGGATGATCGGACTGATCTTTCGTAAGTCTCTAACTTTCCAAAAATTCCGCAATGCGCTATGCGCAACCGGATGCGCAGTAATAGTATAACCTATTTCGGCTATACTTTTGAAGGTCTTTTTATTTTTTATTGTCTATGACTGTACCCATGTCCCTTTTTGCACATTTTCTGGTCATCAGAAAAATAACATGACATGTGTCATAATCAATTTTTTGATTATCGAACATGCCCTAACGATCCCCAAAAAAAGTTTTTTGAAAAAAAAGAATAATTAAGATTTTTCCCATATGTACCCAACTTTATGGCGCACACTGTATATTATTTTGATCATTGGCAAAAATTACAACAAAAAAAAAGCGAAAACACCTCACTTTTCACTAATAATAGAATAGTATTTAATAATTATTATTATTTATGCATGAACTTAACGATTTTCACATTGTAAATCTTACCAGAATCATGTATTTTTAATAAACTAATTAATTTTAGGATCACTCATTTGTGTCAGTTTTGAAAAAAGAAAATGTCATTTTATAGGTTGGAAATCGCAATGTACAATAAATAAAACCCCATGTCCTCTCTTCCTTTATTATCACATCTGTTAAAAAGAGACAGATATAAGAATGGTAAACGATGTCAGAATTGTCAGATAGTTCCAAGCTATACTAGCGCCACCATATGCTACAAGAAATACGTTGCCACTTGGCGCATATAAATCGGTAACTCTTGGTTTATTATATTTCTCTATGCGCCGGACTTTCCGTTGTGCGCAGGACTGTTCCGATTATTATCCAAGAATGAGATGGAGAATAGCAGCAACATAAAAGGCTATTTTTCGCGAGGATAATCAAACATAATCTGATTATGCTCAGATGTTATGTGTGAATTGTGCCACAGAACATATCACCTCTAGAAAAGTATCTGCAATGTTATGTACCGGTTATGAATTACAGCGCCATCGTTGACTGAAAACCCAACTAATCGAGCATTCTTGACAAAAAGGCGAATTGATTTTTTCATATATTTTTATTATTTTTAAATAATTTTTAATGTTCAACTGCATTTGGCTTGCTGACTCCTTTTAGATCTTTTCGCCTCATTTTTTTGAAAACTATATGACTGGCAGGAAGTTTCCGATGTCGATCATAGTGGAAAAAGAGTTAGTAAGTTAGCAAGAGACACGCAGCTATAGGTAGATCGCAAAGTAAATACGAATAATAAATACAAATACGAACGAAACGAAATAAACGGGTAAATACAAAAAAATCCGAACAAAAATTAGGGTTTTGTTCAACCAAAACTTTTTGAATTTTCACTTTAACGCGCGTGGGGACCATGGTTCACAACACAATTTAAAAATTCAAATTTTGACTTTTAAAATGACAAAATAAATGACAAAACCAACCAACACAAATCACTGACCATACCACAGATACCTGTAAATTTCCCTTATCTCCCGACAGTGTCGCCATCGTTGACTAAAAACCTAACTAAAAACCTTCGTCGCGATTCTCCCATTTGAGATATTTTTCTATAGGTGATATGTTCTGTGAATTGTGCATTGGAATTGTGTCATACTCCCCTAACTCCCTCCAGTCCCTCCCCAACCAATTCTGGGCCTGCGAGTGACGTCACTATCAGCCTCTCATAGTGATGACGTCACCCGCAGACCTCGATGGAATGCTTGCCATTCAGGCTGTGCTATGGTTGATAATTCTCTCAAAAATAATTAAGTGACGTCAGAATCTTTTGGCGTTTGTTTACACCGGATTTATCAATTTATATGATTTTTTTTTCCAGATAATTCCTACCACCAAACTTCAGAAAAACTTCTAGATTTCATTTCCACATCGATTCCGCCATTCGACTTGAGCTACGTACCAGGTGTTAGCTCAACTTGCCAAAAAGACAGTAGAAAATTCATAAAGGATTTGAAATTGTTTAAATTATGGGCCTTGAAAAGTAAGAAATCTCATTTTATATAGTTTACCTACGAACGTGCAGAAAGTGCACTTTATTGCACTATGAAAAGTAGACTTTGGTATTTATAATCATGGCCTTTTTTTCGGAGATGTAGATGCTCATAGGTGCCTAACAACTTTACCAAACGTGCGGTAAAGTATGACTTTCCGCATTTGTTAGGTTAATATAACTATAAACTAATAATTAGAAAAAAAAATGTTCATGGGATTTTTGACTTCGCAGTCAGTACTTCATACATAATTCAGCAAATGAGGCGATTTGTTACCATGGTCAAAGGAAAATTGTTAAATTCACGTCACATTAAATGATATGCGTCTGATGACTAGCCATTCAGTCTTGATGGATGATGAATACCAAATAGTGGTTTTAACAGGGGGTTTTCCATATTTGCATCCTTATTATTCGTAATATTCTATTTGAATATTTGCGTTAAAGGGGGTTTCCTTTATTGAAATGTCTACGATTTACTGGTTTCTGATATTGAATTCCCAAATTGTAAGTTTGTGTAAAGTCGATCAATAAAACTTGGAAACTTAAAAATTCAAATTATTTAAAAAAAAAAGGCCTCAATACAATCAGAATAATAAATTTACACTTTATATGTATTGTCTGGCCAATGGAACTGAAGCTTAGGAAGGAATTCGGATGAAAATGTTCGATGTTACCAGTTTAACATAAAACAGCATGCAGTATAGATCATTTGAAGAAAACGCAAAATATTGTTTTGTCAGATGTATTCTTATTTAATAACTGATTTTTTCAATTATGAATTTGAATCATCTTGAAATATCAAGCTATATTGAAATATCCAGTGGCGGGGGTTTGGAAAATTTCGCACGCCGCTGTTTATTTTATAAATGAAATCAGCCACGTTTTACTACAACTGCATTCCCCTCACCCGATGGCCCGTAACTCCAGATTCCTTGACCAGACAATACGAGAACCATACTATTCGATTTTTTACAGAGAATATACCTACTTACCACCTTTGGGTTCTTGTTTCAAAATCTTTAAGCTTCATTATCTTGAAATTGGTGAAAGATATTCAATCAAAATTTTTAGGAATTTTAGGTCCTATGAAGTTCTAAAAAACCTATATTGGAAAATATTTTCAGGTTTATAGTTTTTGAGAAAATTTACTAAATTTTGACTAAAATTCAACTTTGAGACTCAATTACTCGGAAAGCATTTGAGCTATAAAACTCAATTTAGCACAAATTTATAAAGAATTTAATGCTTTATTTTGATTTGTTATTCAAATTTTCAGTGTACGACTCGTCGGCGAAAATTCCTTCAGGCATTCTAGCAGGAAATACAAACCAGCTAGGAAATTTCGACATGTGCTTGTCGGCAATCAACGAAAACCAAAACATCTACGGCCAATATTGTTTGGCGGCTCTGGAAGTGAAAATACCGCAAAGTCCTTACTTGGCCGGGCTACATAAAATGCTCCAGTCGCATTATCATTTTAAAAGTACCCTAGAAGATGTAAGAAGCTGCTAATTATTCAAAAGAAATCTTATTTAATGATTTTTCTTTCTTTAGCCTGGCCATAGGGTACCAAGGTTTTCAAGCATCAACTGGGCATTGTGTGTACCAAACTCATGCAATTCAAACGATATAAGTTTGGGCTTGAAAAAATCCTTAAAAAGAATTTTGGATGGTACCGAATTAGAAGTGCGATTTGAAGTTGATCCAACAATGTGCCAGAGTCAAGAGAAATCAAAAGAAATTCCTAATTCGACAATAATTGCTTTGTAAGTTCCTTGATATTAATTTTAGTTTTTTTTTTTATTTTTTTTTCTATTATTTTAGAGTAAGTTTTGCTAGCATTATATTATTTGAGCTGTTTGCCACTTTTTACGACAACTACGCCAATGGACCAAAAAGTAAGTATTATTGTAAGTATATCAAAAAAAAAATATATATATTTTTACATTATTATCATTGCAGATCAATGGATAACTAGTTTTTCTATACAAAAGAACATCAAAACTTTAGTTACCATTAAAAGATCATCTGGAGATATTCAATCGATTCATGGAATTCGCATGTTGAATGCTATTCTATTGGTTTTAGCTCATAAATCTATGGCTCTATTTTTTATGCCTTATGTTAATCGGACTCAGGCTGTTGAGGTGAGAATTACACAATGATTTAGTGTGTTTAAGATATAAAATGTATTCAACCTTTTTGCATACAAATTATTCTATTTTCAGTACCTTGGAAGGCCCTTTTCAGTACTAGGAAGAGCGGCAAGCTTATACACCGACCCCTTCATAATGATTTCCGGACTTTTAACTTCCTATTCTTTAATAGGCAAACTGAACAAAACTGGAAAAATTAACATACTACAAGAATATGTTTCCAGGTTGTACAGGATTGTGCCAACGTTTGCAGCTTTAATAGGCAAGACACTATCAGCTGTATGCAACATCCTCTTTTAACTTAAAAGCGCAAGCGCTTTTTAAAACTAGTACCTTTAAAAATTTGCATGGTTTAGAATACATATTTTTAAAAGTGACCAGTTTTAAAAAGCGCTTTTAAGTTAAAAGAGGATGCTGCATACAGCTGTATAATTTTAAGCAATGAAATTTAAAATGTTATTTTTCTAATTTATAGCATTTTGTACATTTATTTTGCCATGGTTAAACGACGGGCCGATGTGGAACTTGGTAGTGACTCATCATTCGGACATTTGCAAAAAATATTGGTGGAGAAATTTGATGTTTATACACAACTATTTTGGATTCAAGGATATGGTAAGCGTAAACCTTTAAATTAGCTCAATTTCTTATATATATTATGTGTTTTAGTGCCTCACCCATACTCACCATCTAGGAATTGATACCCAACTTTTCTTTGTATCACCCTTTTTAGTTTACACTGTATGGAAGTGGCCAATCAAAGGTTCAGTTTCCTTGGTATGTTTAGCAGCTATATCTACAATGGCCAGATATTATGTAACCTATACGATGAGGCTGTCAAATTATGTGCATTTTGGAACATCGTAAGTACAAAATAAATAGGTAATAGGATTTTTTTTTATACATTGAAATATATTCTAGTGTCCAACAATTATTCAATACAGCAGACTATATGTACATCCTTCCACCTCATAGAGCTACAGTGTATATAATGGGCATTCTTATGGGTTACTTATTAAAAAAGTATTCCAATACTACTTTAAGCAAGACACAAATCCGTATGGGAAACACTTTAGCCCTTTTTAGTTTTCTCATTTCATATTTTGGACCATCATTTATGGGAAAAATCGATTACGTATACAATCCCACAGATGCTGCACTGTATGCCGCATTTTCTCCAATTTTATGGGTCGCCTCATTTTGCTGGATAATCTACACCAGCGAATTGGGCTACACTGGAATTGTTGGCAAATTGTTTTCGCTTCCCATTTGGACATTGTGGACCAAAGTTTCCTACACAGTCTACTTGACACAATTTCCGATTTTCTTTTACAATGTAGGTGTTGCAAGAGCCAGTCAAGAGTTTGGATTTTTTACCAAAATGCTGAATGTCCAAGAGTATAGTTGGATTTTGGGCTTGTCGGTACTATTGAGTGTAATGTTTGAAATGCCGTTTCAAAATATTAGAGCTTTGATGCTGAAAAGGACTGGGAATTGTGGAAATAGTGATGGAGAGGTTAAAAAAGTGCTATGAGACTTTAATTTTAAACAATAGGATAAGATTAGCTTTTGACTGAAAATGTACTTACCTATTTTGTGTATATACAGGGTGTTACAAATTCGCCAGTAAGTATGGGGATCTTATTGGTAGTTAGATAGAACAGATACAGGGTGGATGAAGTTTCAATTTTATATATTTTCCGAATCTTGAATCTCCAAAGAAAAAAAAAATCTAATGGAAAATTATTTTTTAGTTCATGACAAGCTCAAGAAAAATTGCCAATATTTCCATTGAAATTTCTCTATAAATCTGTGCTGAATTAGTTTGATAGTTCAAGTATTTTCTGAGGAATTGAGCCACAAATTTGAACATTTTTAAAGGGTATTTTGGTGAGCAATTCAACTAACCGTGTATCCCTTAGGGTTACCGAAATCGCCATACTAATTCACGGAATTTGTAGCACCCTGTATATCATTTTCAAACTACCTCTATTATTTATAAGGTGTTCCAATATTTCTTAAAAATTAACAGTGGTTTTATTATAGGAAGTATAAGTAAATAGTTAACTGAGACTTTTAAATTGTAATTGTACTAATCACCCTGTATATTGAAAATGAAGCTTTTATATTATAGACATCAAATTGATTTCCTTGTTCTGATGAGTATAGGTATAGACGTTGTAAGACCTCCTGTATAAATATTATATTTATTATTAAATTAATGCCATTAATGGTAAACTGCCAAAAATAATTAATTTGGCAATGTGATTTTTGCTATTATTACTAGGTATATTATTATATTATAAATAAAGTGTTTTATGTTTGTAAATAAAATATGTGTTTTGACTTTAGCGAAGGGTAAATCACTCATGGAATTCACTGTACACTTTGCTGGGAATACTTCGAAATCCTTGGGAATACTCTGGAAGTATATGGAAATACTCTGGAAGTAAATGGAAATAATTTGGAAATATATGGAAAAACTTGTAAATTTCTATAACTACAAAACGAAATAGTAGTTTTTATATTAAAACAGTAGCAGAGCAAGTGGCCCTTTGAAGCAAACAGTTTAATCAAATTTTTCCACTGTTCCCCAACAGTATTTTTGGGAATTTTCATTGAAATCTCAAGAATTGCGTGCACGTTCGTTCTGATTCGTTCTCATTCAGTGTTTCACTATATTCTGATTGAGTCTCAGGTAGAGTATTCCAATTTTTTTTTTGGTCATTTGTTCCAGGTTCCAGTTATCCTAATTTTGAGGCAACTGAAACAGTGACCCCTCTTTTCTTATGCATTCAGACAGTAATAATTCTGAGGCGACTTGAACATATTGTAATGTATATGTAAAGATTCTACCACATTTTATTATTTTTGCTCAAAAATTATGAGAGATGCAACAAAAGAGTTATTCTCAGTGGTGAGAAAATGATGTTTTAAAAAAATGGTAAAATGAACCAAAAATAAAATAAGAAACCTATTTTCTTTGTAAGTAATCCATATCTCCATTTCTGCATGGTGTTCAGCACAGTTGACAATTCTTCTTCTACTTCATTTATATATTCCTTTGCCACTTTATCCTGCTACTGACAATATACCTTTCCCTCTTGTTCCAAATACAAAGAGTCTTATTGTGGATTTTGGAATGTTATAGAGAACGGCAGCACCATATATTGTTGTAGCGTTTAAGACATCTTCAATTGTTTTTTTCTAGACCAACTGTGTATCTTGCATATTTGCTCTACTTAGAAAAAACGATAATATGTACAATACAATGCTGATTTCAGGGTGAACATATTGTTTCCAGTTAGCCACATCATATAGGTACGTTCCAGTTTTTACTGAGGCAACTGGAACCCAAGCTGTGTTTCCATTATTTGAAATTCTAAGCTAAGAACCAACTTAAGAAAAAAACCTAGTTTCACACATTTTTCTCGAGATCTTTCTCTTACGGTAAAATATGCGTAATGCAATATTATTCACTTTAATCACTAATCATTGATTAAAATCCAAACTTCTGTCACTTGTTATTATGATACACTTTGTAAAAGATTTAAATTTTTTTCTCAAAAACTAATCCGGCGTCGTTCTTTCTACCACATGCAGAATATAAAGGAGACACATTTGTAACGAATTTTTATGAGTGGGAAATTCAAATTTCAATTATAGGTAAACCAAAACATTAAAAAAAAACCATATGGCCCAGTTACCTCGCTGTTCCAGTTTACCAAGTTGCCCTCACTTGGAAATACCTGGGAATACGTGTGGGAATACTTGGAAATACTATCCAAATTTGAGAAATATTCCCAGAAACTGGAAATCACTGTACGAAAAATTCATTGCAATAAAAAATTTAAAATCAGACAAATTTGATGATTTTCAAAACATGCATTTATTAGATTCATAAAGTCAATAGTATATTCAATACACGAAAATATTATTATGTAGAGCATCCTTAAAAAATATATGGATCCAAAAATCACAAAAAAATTGATATTTAGATTATCTACACCCTGTACAAAAAAAAAACGACCCATTTCATTTTTTGGACTAAACCACCAATAATTTTATTTTTTATCAATTTTAATTTAATAATACCTTAGAGGCAATAATATTTATTTCTCAAATAAATAATTAACAATAAATGCAAAAGATTTTTTTCCAATGGCAAGGACACACTTTCAAACCCAAAAAAAAAAATGATTTTTTTAAAAGGAATACTTATTATTTCTCACATCCACCAATAATAATAATTATAATTATATAATAAACTACAAGCATTAAAATTGAAGGCCCTCACTGGTTGGAGAATAAATATTGAATTTAATTTGCTACCTTAAGTAAGTGCTTATGCCAACGGTTTCTCTTCCTGGATGGTCGGGCTGGTGGCTACAGATCCAGACCTGGATCTAGCCTCATCGTTGACACTGTGCTGGGAGCCGGATCTAGAAACAACTTTTCCTTTGACATTTTCGTAAGCCGACCCCACTCTTTCCTCGATAGATCTGAACGATTCGGAATGCCTCATTTGTCCCAATTTACTAGTCAAATTGCTTGTGAAGCCTCCTATGACTGAAGTGGTCTTTTGATATCTGGAAAATGAATTATTGGTTTTAAAATTGTAGAAGAGGATTCGTGCAAAACTTACAATGGTGCATCGGTAACAGCCTTTGCAACTTGTTCTACTTTATTTTCAACAGTCTGATATCTAAGTAAAGTAAAAATAATAATCAACTAAATTGCATGCTTTAAAATATTCTAGAATTGGTAAAGCAAGCATGGACAAGCAACTAAATGTGTCATGCAAAAATAAGCTTTGTTTGATGAAGTTATACAGTTTAATTAAGTATAGGCATTTTGATTAGCTTGAGATAAACTAGAAATTGATTATGATTGGTTTGGATATTTATTTATATTTTTTCTTTCCATTTATCCAATTTTTTGTTTATTCCAGGCTCCTTAAAATTTTAATTAAAAATAACTTACACGTTGCTTTCCTTAACATTCTTAATGCCCTGATTGATATCGTCAGAAACCTCTTTCAAAAAAGTGATTCCCAAGTTCTTTTTCAGTTCGGCGCTGCGGCGCATTTTCGAGCCCAAAACCGTCCTCAGAGTGACGATTTCGTCTTCAATTTGCACCAACTCTTCACGCCATATTTTCTCCTGTTGCTCTTTTTCTTCTTCAGTGAGATGAGAAAGGTCAGGAGCGACATGGTCAGCTGCCATTGCTTCTTCTAAAACAAAGATTTCTTTATAGAAACAATTTGGCCAAAGTCTAAATACCATACTGATAAAATTATGGAATAATTACCTACTAGCTGCATTATTACAAAGTAAATTTTTGTTCAAGAAACAGATGTTAGAGAGATCTTCAAAATACACATGTCATACTGGCTATTTAGAGACAAGCGTTGGAACTTTTAAAAAAGGTCAGCAAACGCTATTTATAATTTAGTATAAATTAGTTGGTTAAGTGGATATGTAGTTAATGCACCAATTCGATTGCTTACGTTTTTACTATAAATTTAGACTTTTTTCACAAATAAACATTAAACTGGATTAATTAGGAATTAGGCAATGAGAAACACAAATGAGTTTTTACATTATAAGTGGTTTATAGAAATAATAGACTTCATTTGGATATTTTTTAAATTAGAAGGTAACATTTGAGTTGAGTCCACTAAAATTCTTTAATTAAAGTATCCAACAGTTTCAGTGTAATTTTTGAAACATTTTCAATGTTCGATAATTTCAATTTTGAAGCTTCTCAGCTGCAAAACTGTTGAAAACTAAATTGAAATCTCAATTAACAGGTTTGTATAGAATTTAATTGGCTTCAATAATGGAGTCGCTCAAAATGCACAAACATCCATTGCATATTTGCTAGGTATACTCACTCGATTTTTCAATTTTTGTAAAATGGACTTTCCCAATCGAAAGAGGTCAGACTATTTTCAGGTGGTTGATTATGAGAAAAAAAATTGAAAAGCAAATCTCAACTTTGACCTCAGAAATTTTCTTAAAATCTGATATGGTCTTAAAAATTTACTTATAGTTTTGGTAATTTTCAACGAATCAACTTGTATTGTAGATTTTCTGAAAAAAAATTAAATTCTCTATAAAACCACCTTTAATAGGCTTTGAGAAATTAGGCTTCTAAGTTGGATTTTGATTTAGATTTTATCAAAAACTTCAAGATCAAATAACTCAAAAACCACAAGTGATAAAAATATTTCATAAATGAGATATTGAAGTACTCAATGAGAGCAACAAACTAAGAAAAAATTGACTTAATACAGCTTATAATTACTGAATGAAAAATTGTCTCAGTGTAATTTTTTTTTTAAATAATATTTATAATAAGTTAGTTTCTTACCACTCTGACTCAAACTTATAGCTAAATACTTCCTAAAATTACTATCTTTTGGTAATTTAGCCAAATAAGGCTTGCTCAGATCACTGTACCGGACCCTGACTTGTTTCTTGACTTTGTTACGCAAAAATGCCCTTATTATCACGTTGGCTCTTTTCACATCGAAAAATTCAGCCTCCACGTTAACGGATTCTTCCTGGTGCAAGTGACTACTAGTCACCTCATCGAAATCCAGCTGTCTCAGATCAAAAATATCCAATTCGTTATCGAGAATGTCGTATTCTTCTAAGTCGCTGTTGGTGTCTTCTAGGTTATCTAAGCTTGGGGTCGAAGTGCTGTCGTTGGGATTGAAATATGGATCTTCAATGTATTCTAAGCTAGAGGGATTCTCACCCTCATTGTTCATTTTTTCGATTTCATAAAAAAACTAACTAAACATGTTGCCAAGCTGGTACATACTGTAGAAGAAATAAACAAGAACAAAGTACCGTAATAAAATTTTAACTTTCACCAAAAGCAGCTGAACAATAAAGGAATTTTTCAATTGGAATTAGTAGGCAACCAAATATACTACATTGGACTTTGTTAATAATTAATTATTTTATTGTTAAGATAATTTGTTAAGGAATAACATGCAATAATTGTGTTTTAGGTAATTTTGATCGCAGAGGCAAAACATGACAATGTGTGGGAGATTCACAATAATAAAGTATTTTCTTTCTGTATGTGACACGTCAACCTTTGAATTGTTTAGAATAATTTATGTTTTCGTACCTTTTTGTTTAAATAATCCAATAGAAAACATTATAATAATATGAGTTTTTCCACACACAAATTAATGTTTACTTTTTATATTATTATTTGTTGGTGGAAAACTATTTCCTCAACAAGCTACAAAACGAAAAAAAAGTGTTTTTTTTTTCTTACCAGCTGAAGGACTGATGTTGCTCATGTTGATTCCTTTTAACAGTTTTTTATCAAAAATATTTTAAAAATTTGCACAAAAACACAACTTTTTTAGCAAAATGACGGAATGAACCATATATAAAAAAAATTGGCAGTGAAAATCTGACATCAACAGTGTTGCCAAATGGATTTTTCTGTCAAAAAACAAACAGTTTTATATTAAAGTTGCAAAGCGTATTTTTTTAAATAAAACAAACAAATTAAACATCATTTTCACAATTTATAAAACAAAACTGCCCTTAAAATAAACAGATATTTTAAAAAAAAAAACTTCAGTTAAAACAGTAGATTTGGCAACGCTGTAAGACAATCACATGGACAGATGGATAGTGGCGACATCTCATAGCACTTAGGGCGGGTATTATAAAACTGCTTTGACAGTTAACTTGAAGTTAACTTTTTGAATTACATGTAATTCTAGAAGTTAACTTTAAGTTAACTCTCAAAGTAGTTTTATAATACCCGCCCTTAAACTAGTTGTGTTCGTTGGCTATCTTAGAAACAGCTCTCTGTAAAGAGGTCTCGATTTTCCAATAAATTTTCCGGGAAAAATTTGTTTCTAGTGCATCAAAACTATTGAAATAATAGACCTATCTATTTTTACCTGGGCTGCGTTCAGGAATGGCTACAGCCAAGCCAAATATGGCATTTTGCGTTCGAGTTCGGCTCCAACCTACATGGTTCGGCATTACAGGTGGAGGGGGAAAAGTAGGTTTTGGCATTAGCATTGCCGTCCTTGAACGCACCCCTGATATGCGCGCGCAACACGAGGCAATGTCTTTTTATTGGCCAACTAGTACAGGTGTGAGGTGTTCGTTTTGCATGCCCGGCATATCCTTGTTCTTGTTCATTGCCCGTGGTCTGACAAGAATAAAATTACGAGTCTAACATAATTTGGTACGTTTTGCCTCGTCTTGCGCAATGAGCGTTTTGTGTCTTTTTTTATCTAATTAAATTTTCGTATTATTACCTCTTTGTCTGGTAAAATAGATAGGTCTATTGGAATCAAAGTTAAGTTGTAATTTCGTATAGTTAGTAGCCGGCAAATGATTTATTTTGTTAAAAATTTGTATTTGAAAATTTTCGGTTTTCTTGACAATATGGAGGCACCAGTCATGTACGAAAAAGATGTTTCTGTGAAAAACATCTTGTTTTTTTAGGAAAAAAATCGTTTTTAGTTTGTGAAAAGTGTTGAAATAATGAAAGTGGATATTCAACTTTAATTTGATACTAATTGGGAAAACTTTATGGTGAATATGTCACCATTTATTACAATTACAAGCGTTGAAACAACAAGAACAACGCTTTTTTCAGTATATGAGAATGACTTTTGGGACATCATGTGTGAGATTTTTAATCGATTGAACCACAATGTATTTCTTTGAAATATCTCAGAAATCAGTAATTCGGCATCATCCATTATTGATGTGGGCGGCTGCATCTTATAAGTTGTATAATTCCTTTCAAGAGCTTGAAACACTCGAGCTACTCACTCCGGTGTTTAGTCGGCCCCGATTTGCAGAGAAAAGATGCGTGGTGCAACAAATACTTTTCGAAAGGAATAAGCGCGTGAAGCCCGGGAGCTGTTCCGGAGCTTCTCCTAGGTGTGAAAGGAATACAGCTTTAGAGTAGCTGCATAAATGCTCTTTGATCCATCGAATTTGACAGAGCAAGAAAGAGCGCTCTGTGTGAGATTTGAAAGCGTTCTATTTATTGCTCACATAGCTTTAATTATTCCTTTCAAGAGTTTGAAACACTAAAGCTACTCGCTCTGGTGTTAGTCGCCCCGATTTGAAACGAACAGATGTGCTGGCTTTCATGCATTTAGATGGTCTACTTCGGACTTGAGTACTCAGGTACAATAAACACTTTTCGAAAGGAATACAACATAGGTGTGAAAGGAATACAATTAATGCTCACAATAGTTGTATTCTTTTCCTTTTCAAACATAGGAGGAACTCAGGAACAGCTCTGGGGCGTTACGCGCTTATTCCTTTCGAAAAGTGTTTGTTGCACCTGAAGTTCTTAAGCCCGAATCACACCATTTAAATGCACGAAAGCCAGCGCATCTGTTCCTTTCAAATCGGGGTCGACTAGCACCGGAGCGAGCAGATCTAGTGTTCTAAACTCTTGAAAGGAATACAACTAAAGCTGTTTTCTCGCGGTGGAACTGGTTCGACCCGGTTCAATTAGGTTCGAACCTGTACATTCTTGCGTTGAACCAGTGACGTCACATTGAACCTGATTCAAAAAAGTTCAAACCGGCTGATGGCTTGTTCTTCGTTGACATAAGACTGTGGTTCAAACCTTTCATTTTCTCGCGGTCACAAGTGATGACGTCATCTACAAATTGGTTTAAACCGTAGTTCGAACCATTCGCCCCGCGAGAAAACGCCTTAATTCTCACTTGCGCGAAATGTGGTCAAATAGTCGAAGCAATGTTAGAAACAGGGTAAATTGTGAATTTCGCACAAAAAGAGCGAATTTCGCGCAAGTGAGAATGAGGCATAAAGGCCCCTTCGAACACGTGAATCTCCCCGAAATCCAAGCCCGAAACCAACGCTCCGTCTAAAACCGAACATGTGAATCCGTTTCGGATCGCTTTTTGAGTCAAAACTCGAAAGCGCTATTAGAGAGTGTGTTCACAGACGGCAATGCTAATGCCAAAACCTACTTTTCCCCTTCTACTGGCGATACCAAATTGTGTGAATTTGCTGGAACGCCAAATACCGTTTCTCAATTAGGCAATCCAAACCACGTGACATTCGAGATGGTGTGGCGACCACACATGGACCAAAAACACAAGAAAATATCTAGTTTCTGCCCGACTTAGTAGTTTACGTACCTAGTTAACAAATATTTTATTGAATAATCAAAATCAAATCTGCAAACAAACAAAATGATTGAAATATGCATGGAAACTTATATTCAAAACCAACTTGCTGGCCGCCACGCCATATTGATCTCATCCAATCAAAATTCGTATAACCATTTCTAGACTCAGTTGAAAGAGCCTCCAAAAGTTACTTTACCGCGGCCGATTTGGAACGTGTAAAGCCAACCGTTTTTCGCACGCTGGAGCCGAAGTTGAACCCAAAATGGCAATTTTGGCGCGGCTTTAGCCGTTTTTGAACCCAGCCAGGGAATTCAAACCACGTGACAATCAAGATGGCGTGGCGGCCACACATGAGCCAAAAAACACAACAAAATATCTAGTTTCTGTCCGATTTAATATTTCAGGTACCTAGTCAACAAATATTTTATTAAATAATCAAAATCAAAGTAGCAAACCAATTGCTAAGCAAAATAATTTGAAATAAGCAAAAAAACATAATCAAAACAAACTTGCTTCGCCGCCACGCCATATTGAATTTTCCATTTTGACCGACGGATTGAATTTTACCGTTCTCACCCAAACAAAACTAACCTCACTTTTTGAAAAATATAAACAACAAAACGTGAAAAAAAAATTGTAGAAGTGTAGAAGTAGAAAGACTGTAAATTAATAGTTTTGTAATTTGTTTTACCAATTTATTTAATAAAAATGCCTAAAGTAAGAGCAGAAAAGAAAACCCGAACACACAATGAAGTCGCTAAGCAAGGTAATTTTTTTTTAATAGAAATTCCTCGAGAAACTCTGATATTTCCTGCTAATTTCATTATGCTGCTTACTTTTTATTTCCTTATCTCCTTTCTAATGCTGCAAGTAGATGAGCCATTTCCTTAGTCTTGAAAATGGCTCAAGCCTAGTCCCATAATTTTATATCCAGTCCTACTTGTTCACAACATTGATGTATGTGAACTAGTATCTAAAACACACAAGTTGCCCATAGCCATTGAGATTAATGGAGTCAAGGTTTTAAGCATACAGGGTGCGTCAAAAAAGTATAGCAGAGCAAAGTTGTATTTTTTTAAATGGAAGAATGTAAAGTCCGTCGATCTTAATCTGATACTCAAAAAAAATGTGAGATGGCTGGTGGCTAGTGGGCCCATGCTTCAGTCCCTTGCTCCTCATACGGAAAGTGTCAGATAAAAAACGATGGACAATATATTGTGCGCTTATTTTTTAGTCTCCTTCAACCTGATTTCAACAGTATACAGTTTGATATGTTAATCTCTTATAGCTGCATGCAACTCCTCTTTTAACTTAAAAGAGCTTTTTAGAACTGGTACCTCTAAAAATTTGTATTGCTTAGAATAAGTAGGTACACATTTTTAAAAGTGACCAGTTTTGAAAAGTTCTTTTAAGTTAAAAGAGGATGTTGCATACAGTTGTAGGTCTTTTCTTTAATCTTTTGTATTTAACACTCGATTTGACACTTTTGTCAAAAACGTCAAATGAAAAAGTTAAAAGGGGGTGACTTTACGCCCTAGTGACTAAAGTAACTTACTTCACAACCTAGAGTGTAAAGTAAAATCACATTTTCAATGCAAAAAAAGGGCAGCAAGGGCTTCTATAAAGGGGGTGTGCGTCAAAAATTAAAGTTTTAGTGTAAAAAAATCTAAGAATAACTGTTCAAACCTCGTTATTCTACGATAAACCATCGCTGAGATATACCGCTTTAAAGTGCGGACGATGCTCTTGTGACGTCACGAAAACTTCGTCCAGCGGCGCTATGCATTGTTAATTTGATTGTTCCCGGCACGCGTGAGTGGTTTTTGTTTAGATTATTGCAGGTAACACAGGAAAAACATTATGTAAATTTAATTAAATCCACTTTCTCGTGCGTCACTTGAGCTTTCGTGACGTCATGCGGTACCTTCATAGAGCCATATCTGCGGTATTATTTGTCATAGAGGGGTGCGGATTTCACTGTTATTCTTAGATTTTTTTTCTCTTTTTTTTGAGATGAAGTTGTTTTTTTGGCGCACACCCCCTATAATAACAAATTTTATACTTGTGCTTGTGGGTAGTGTTGTAACAAGCGAACTTTCGTACTATTACCGTAATTTACGGTAATGTTCGCTCCTCTCTAAGTGAAAGTTCGTTGAAAATGCATTTCTAAATGTTACCCAATTGTTTAATCATGAATATGGACCCTGATTTCTGAATATTTTTATTATTATTTTTTTATTTTATAATTATGTACTTGTACGAGGTTATTACCATTATCTACAGAAAGTTCGTTTTTTAAGTTCCTTTTTTAAGAGTTCCTATTTTTATTTTCAAATTTATTTTTTATATTATTTTTTGTTTTGACTTAACACTTTATGTAGTTATGTTATGTAGGTATTTGCCTCGGTATTTGCATTTAAAGATTTTTGAGTTTTATTTTTTGGTGCTACCACTGCTACCTACATCCTACAGCTATGTTGTTTTTTAGTTTGTTTTTTATTTCACCAACTTACAAGAAACAAGACTTGTATTAGTTTTATAAATATAATGTATCATTTTCTTTACAATAAATTAATAATACTTAGACAAGGATTATATCTACATTTATGGAAAATTCACCTACCCCTACCAGAGAAAAGAAAAATAGGAAAATTTAGTGGAACTTTATTATCAATAGACATTTTTACAAGCCCTACATTAAAAAGACGAATTTATAGGTCCTTTGGAACATTCTCCAAAGATCTCATAAATTCTCGAAAATTCTCAAACATTCCCGAAAGTTCGGTAACGTTCGAAAATTACCGAGAATTTTACAACATTACTTGTGGGTGTTACTAATGCGATTTATTAAACTTTTTTGTCTATGCACTAGTGTGTGAAGTGAATTACTTTATGCACTAGTGAAAAGAATATACCTATATCATAATTTCAGATTTAGATATGTACAGTTGCGATCAAAAAAAAGTAGTACAAGAAAAATCTCGAAAATCTCCTGGTCTATTATACATTAATTTAATTCATTACAAAAAATGACATTTTTTGGCATTTTTGACAAGTTTTTAACCTAGAAAGCTTCAGATGACATTATTTTGACATTTTTCCACCCGTTTTTAACCTAGAATATGTCATTGCCTGTCAAAATTTTTTAAGTTACGCCGGGAGCTCAAATTGGGAATAATAATTTTTGTACTACTTTTTTTTGATCGCAACTGTACATATTTGTTACATTATTACATTAAGCTTTTTAGTTTAGCTTTCTTCTTTTTGATTTAGGCATATCATGGATGTCCAACTTCAACAGTTCCAAGTTTCCATAATAAGTAAATTTCAACTAAGTATCTGATTAAATTTAAGGTATTATGTTCAACAAGGATTTTGGCCAGCACATACTCAAAAACCCCATGGTTATAACCTCGATGGTAGAAAAGTCCGCTGTAAGGCCAACAGACACAGTACTCGAAATAGGTCCTGGTACTGGTAACATGACAGTCCGACTTCTAGAGCAAGCCAAAAAAGTAGTAGCATGCGAAATCGATACTCGTCTGGTTGCAGAATTACAAAAGCGTGTACAAGGCACACATTTACAGCACAAATTGCAAATCGAAGTTGGAGATGTGCTCAAAAAAGATTTACCATTTTTCAATGTCTGCGTTGCCAATATACCATACCAGATATCATCGCCGTTGGTTTTTAAATTGTTGTTGCATCGGCCATTTTTTAGATGTGCGGTGCTGATGTTTCAAAGAGAATTTGCACAGAGGTTGGTGGCCAAGGCCGGTGATAAATTGTACTGTCGACTGTCTGTCAATACACAACTTTTGGCAAGAGTGGATATGTTAATGAAGGTGAGATACCACTTATGTGAGAGAAAAGCGAGTCAGCGAAGACTGTTTTCTGTATTAGATATTTATTTAAGTTTTGTTCAAATTCTAGGTTGGCAAAAACAACTTTAGGCCACCACCAAAAGTAGAATCCTCGGTAGTCAGAATAGAACCAAGAAATCCTCCACCGCCCATAGTTTACTCAGAATGGGATGGATTGACTAGGATAGCATTTACCAGAAAAAACAAAACGTTGGGCAGTGCTTTTAAGCAAACATCAGTTTTGGCCCTCATTGAGAAAAATTACAAATTACATTGTAGTTTACACAATAAGGTAGGACAGTTAGTTGGCCAGTATTTTATCTCAAAATCTTCTCGCCAATGAGACATTTATGCCAAAACTCTATAATATGTTTTTTTTTTGTTCAAATATTTTTCTTTGTGATTAGCCCAAGAAATTTATGGGTTTTTAAAAACATTTTGCGAGGGCAGGCTGATTGTTTCAGGGCTAATTGGAGACTGTGTCCTGAGTATTGAGCCAAAAAATCACACTCGAAAGCCTTGTGCGTTCGGCCCTATTGGCCTTTTTATTTTATTTTTTTTCGACAAAATGACCTTAACAAAACTTGGAGATAATAACATTCTGATCAACTTTGCCTCATGACTTTTTTTGCTAGCTATTTTAGTTTAGGTGTTGCGGCCATTTTAGTGCTCCAGAATTCGCAAAAAAATTAAATAGCAAACCTGCAGATTATTGTAACTTTAATAAAATTACTGGTAATGTTGTTTCGTCTTTATTCTAAATAAATTTTATACAATTTGGCAAAGGTGCAAAATTCCTGTTTGCTCGCATTTTTTTGTTTTGTTTCGCGCAAAAAAAGTCGTACCTCTAGATTTTGATAGTGGTACCAGAAGCGAGTAATTGGACAGAATTGCTAAGAAACTCGATGACACGACACGGGCGCGTCGTCGTACGGCTTAACCCGGTCGCAATATTTCTAATCTCAAAACTTCATTGTGAAGTCCTCTCGTATCAACCTTCTACAAAGTTACATAACCCGTAAGTGGGAACACCATAATCCGCAGCGCGTGTGTAAAGCAGGGTCCCTGCAGGAGTGCACTTATGGAATCATTGGGTAAGTCCTTTTTATCATTATTTAGAGGTTGCGCCGCAAAGTAAATACAGTCCACTACCAGCTAAGACATTACGTATTAGCTACCCGCAAAACATTTTGGTCCTTCGAGCCGGATTTCTTATTTTGTTCTGGTGCTTAAATTGATTAACTGGTTAATTATTGCAATTAATCGATTAATTGAAAGTATTTTATTTGATTTTTTTCATTTTGTTGAAATTCATTCGCGTTATACATCATTCTTAGCAAGAAACTGCAAGTGTTTTAATTATTCTCGGTTTGTGTTTTAGAAAAAATAAAACATAAAAGGCATTAATTATTGTAATTTGGCCAGTAGAACGAAAACATTTTTATCAGAAAATCCATAGAAGTTGTAAATTGAACCTCAAGAGCAGAGCAAAGAAAAAAAAAACTTGTTTATTTGAACATAAACATTCCAAGCTTGAAATTCTTTCTTTTTTTTTGCCTTGCCCAAATGCAAATTCAGGAAAAGAACGGATTTTGCTAGATAGTAGGTACTATTCGATTTAATTTAATTTAAATTTGATTTCAATTTTTTTTTTGGCAATATGTCAGAAGATTTAACAATTCTCACTGCCCAACGCAAAATTCTTATCAAACGAATTTCTGAAGTCTACGATATTGCTAATAAAGCGATCGCAGATGAGACAACGCAAGAATATTTTAAGACACGCTATGAGGCTATTCCCTCTTATTATCAAGATTTCGAAAAAATTCACATGACAATAGTTTTTCATAAGGATATGTCTGAGGACAAATGGGATGGCGAAGAAGAAATTCGAAGCGAAATAGATGAAAAGTATTATACTACGAAGAGTATCTTCAATCAATTCATTAAAAATGAAGCAATCGCTAATGCGAGTGTCAATATGACAATGTCGCAACCGTTAGCTTCACCCACTGCCGCTTTGCATAACTTTGCCCCGACTATAAATGTTAATTTGCCCAAGTTGACCCTACCTGTATTTGAGGGTGACCTTAGGCAATGGCCAACGTTTTTTGATTTGTTTCAAAACCTAATTCATAATAAAGCTGGCTTATCAGATATAGAAAAGTTCCAGTATCTCCTCTCTTTTATTAAGGGGGAACCGCTAAATTTAATCAAAGCTATTCCAATAACGGAAGCAAATTACAAAATTGCCTATACAACCCTGGTGAGTCGCTACCAAAATAAAAGATTACTGGCAACCACCTATTTAACTGAAATATTGAATTTCCCTAAAGTTTCGAATGGGTTTAATTTACGCAATATTTTTGATTCCTTTATGGAAAATTTAGACGCCCTTTCTCTCTTAGGATTTCCAGTTGTACATTGGGATTTTATTCTTCTGAATTTATTACTTAAAAAACTGGACGTTGACACAGTACAACGTTTTGAATTAGCCCATGCACAATTTGATATTCCAACCTTTAATCAGTTGAAGTTATTTCTTACAAATCAATGTAAAGCTTTAGAGACTATGGCTCATTCGAATAATCAAATTTCGCAAACAAAAGGAGCAAATAATAGTCGAGGCGTAAAAGGTGATCCTGGAAAAGTTTATCCTCATGCATTGTTGGCAAATGCAAGTAACGGCAACAGTCAAACTCAAAAGATAGTACCTTCACAAAGATGCAGTGTGTGTAATTTGTCACATTTGGTTTATAATTGCCCTAATTTTCGCAATAACACTCCCAAAGAGAGATTTTCGATTTGCAAGCAAAACAGAATGTGCATCAATTGTCTGAGTTCGGCTCATAACTTACAGAAGTGCAAATCTACCTCGGTTTGTCGCATCTGTCGTTTGCGCCATCATACTTTACTGCATTTTGATTCAGCCAAGAGTCCAAACTCCGCAGATTCACAAACTAATTCATCTAGTTCAGTTCAATCGCCCCCTGATAACCAAATACCCTCATTGTTTAGCCCAAATTCAAGTTCTTCGCCGACTATGAATTCGTGTGTTGGAGCTGTAAATCCAAATTCAGTGGTTCTATTGGCAACCGCGCTAGTTAATGTCTTGGATTCCCAAGGCAACCCGCATTCCGTTAGAGTTTTGCTGGATAGTGCCAGTCAGGCAAATTTTATCTCAAAAAGGTGTTTCAACCGCTTAGGTTTGACTTCCTCAAAACTCAATATACCTATTAAAGGTATTGGCGAAATGTCTTCTCTTGTATCACAAGGTGTGACGCTATTCTCGATCGGTCCTCCTATCAACAATAAGTTGTTAGTCAATTTAGAAGCTATTATCCTACCCAAAGTATGTTCTGACATGCCAACCGCATTCTTTAAAACCGATTCTGGGGATCACATCAACAATTTGAAGTTAGCTGATCCATCGTTTAACGCTCCAGGTAGTATCGACATGTTACTGGGAGCTTCAGTTTTTCCTCATATTTGGTTGCCTGGAAAAATCGATGGAGGTGGAAGATCTCCAGTTGCCCTCAACACAATTTTTGGCTGGGTGCTGATGGGAAAAATCAATTTTCAAACTCCAACTCCACTTTATACTTTCTCAGCGCTTGTTGAAAATGATGATATTACAACAAAGTTGCAACAATTCTGGGAAATTGAAGAAGTTCCTCAAGCTAGCACTCTCTCCTCTGATGACCTCTTGGCCGAAAGTTCGTTTGTGAATACGCACCGTCGCACGTCCCATGGACAGTTTATTGTTTCCCTGCCATTCAAAAATGGTGAACCGCTTCTTTCTGATTCACGTTCCATTGCTTTACGTCGATTCTATAGCCTAGAACGGAGATTACAAAGTAATCCCCAAACTTACAAGGCCTATTGCGATTTTATGCATGAGTATTTGTCCCTGGGACACATGAAAATCGCAACTGTCCTACCCGCTCAAGATCGTCCCGAAAAAATGTATTATATTCCTCATCACAGCGTAATAAATCCTAATTCTTCTACCACCAAGCTTCGTGTGGTCTTTGACGCATCCGCAAAAAATACAGAAGGCGAGTCCCTAAACGCAACGCTTTTACCCGGTCCTAAGCTCCAGAAGGACATCACTGCTATTCTTTTAAATTTTCGACGCTACTCGGTTGTCTTCACTGCTGACATCAAGATGATGTACCGCCAAATTTGGGTTGATTCATGTCATTGGGATTATCAACGCATTATTTGGCGATTTAGCCCTTCAGATCCCATTCAGGATTTTGTTCTGAAGACGGTAACTTATGGAGTATCTAGTGCGCCATTTCTTGCATTACGATGTCTTCTTGAGTTGGCGCAAAATTATTCCGAGGATTTTCCTAGGGCATCAAAAGTTCTTCTTAATCAAACTTTCGTGGATGATGTCGTTGATGGAGCGAATTCATTAAGTGAAGCCATCCTTATCAAGAACGAACTAATCCAGCTCTTAAAGTTGGGAGGCTTCGATTTGAGAAAATGGTCTAGTAACGACTTGGAATTTTTATCAACTATACCTTCTGATATTCACCAAACATTGACATCTATTTCAATGGATGACACGGATTCCTATTTCAAGGTTTTAGGACTTTGTTGGTATCCCCACCTCGATAAATTTTCTTACGAAATAAAAGTTTTAAAATCAGAATGCTCTAAACGGTCCATACTTTCGGAAATTGCTCGCATTTTTGACCCTCTAGGTTTCCTTGCCCCTGTTACATTCGCCCTTAAATTATTGATGCAAAATCTCTGGGTCCAAGGACTCACCTGGGATGATGTGGCTCCCTCTGATATCGCGAAAACATGGAAAAAATATAAGGCCGATCTTCCCCGTTTGTCAAATTTACGCATCCCTAGACATTGTTTTCTTTCCTCATATGTCTCGATTGAGCTCCACGGTTTTGGAGATGCCTCCAGCCTAGGATATTCAGCGTGTATCTATTCACGTTTGGTTTGCTCTAACCAAAAAATTTCTACTTTCCTTGTTTATGCAAAAAGCAAAGTTGCTCCGTTAAAACGTATTTCACTTCCTAGACTCGAACTTTGTGCGTCTTTGTTGGCCGCAAAATTACTTAAATTTGTCTTGGCCACTTACTCAGACGTTAACTTTACGCGGATTTACGCTTGGTCGGATTCTATGGTCTCACTCGCTTGGATTCGCTCGCCGGCATTTCGATGGAAAACTTTCGTAGCCAATCGAGTCAGCCAAATCCAGGATATCGTGCCTCCTGAAAACTGGAACCACGTTGCCTCGGAATTTAACCCCGCCGACTGCGCTACTCGGGGCATGTTACCCTCTGAATTGTGTGACGCTTCTTTGTGGTGGCACGGTCCCGCATGGTTACTGTTGCCGCAGGAAGTGTGGCCTGCATCAAAGTTTGAACCCGATTCAAAGCCGCAACCGGAAGTTCTCGCCGAAGAAGGAAAATTAGTATGTGCTATCACTACGGAAATTGATGGTGTTTCCAGGCTTTTAGGTGAACGTTCTTCGCTCCCAACCATTTTAAGGATATTCTCGTACTGCCTTCGGGTGATCCAAAAAATGCGTCATGAACCCACTATTTCGACTAATACTTTCACAGATGTTGAATTGCATAATTCCCTAATGACGCTAGTGAAATATATTCAAGGGATGGTGTTTAGTGAGGATATTGACAATCTGTCAAAGGGTCGTCGCTGTTCAAATCAGCTTAAAAAACTTTCCCCTTTTTTAGATCAACTTGGTATTCTCAGGGTGGGCGGTCGTTTAGTTCATTCCAAACTTGCATTTGAACAAAAACACCCTGCCTTATTACCAGCTCAACACAGATTGACCGATCTTATAGTTCAGGACTTTCATGAAAAATTTCTCCATTGTGGAAAACAAACGTTGAACTACTTAATTTTACAACATTTTTGGATTCTATCTGCGAAACGAGCAATCACTCGAGTAACTTCTGATTGCTTAAAATGTTTCCGAGTAAACCCTCCAATCATGCAACCCAAAATGAGTGATTTACCCTCCTTTAGGGTCACTCAGATAAAACCCTTTCAATGTTCCGCTGTCGACTTTGGCGGTCCCTTTTTTATTACCCTCACTCGAGCTCGAGGTGCCAAATCTCAAAAGGCCTATTTATGTCTGTTCGTATGCTGCGCGACAAAGGCACTTCATCTCGAACTTGCCTCAGATCTGACCACCTCTGCTTTTCTTGCTGCCTTGAGACGATTTCTAAGTCGACGTGGTAGAGTTTCGGTGATTCATAGTGACTGTAGCACCAACTCTGTTGGCGCCGCTAAATACCTCCATGAAGTGTTTGCCGAAGCTGCCCATGAAGAAAACATTGATTGGCGATTTAACCCCCCTGCTGGACCTCACTTTGGAGGATTATGGGAAGCTGGTATCAAAAGTGTCAAATTTCATCTGGTCCGTCTTATCGGTGACCAAATCCTCTCGTACGAGGAACTGTACACAGTGCTCACCCAAGTCGAAGCGGTCTTGAATTCCCGTCCGCTTTCTGCGTTAAGTACGGATCCCAATGACCTCTCGAGTTTGACCCCGGGTCATTTTTTAACTCTGGCTCCATTATCTACTATCCCTGATCCCGATTTGTCCGCCATAAGCTTAAATCGTTTGAGTAGATGGCAACTACTTCAACATTTTCACCAACAATTCTGGAAACGTTGGCACCGCGAGTACTTACATACTCTGCAACAGCGCAACAAATGGTTTCATACTAATCCAAGCCCAATTAAGGTTGGAACTTTAGTAGTCCTAAGAGATGAACTCACTCCACCCCTCAAATGGCGACTTGGACGCATAACTGAAACTCATCCTGGTCCTGACGGTATTATCCGGGTTGTAACCCTTAAGACAACCCATGGAGTTCTTAAACGGCCGGTTAATAAAGTGTCTATGTTGCCATCCCAATAGGTAACTTAGATGATATTGTATATAGCTAAATACCTCTAGTTAATTTTATTTTAATTTTAATTTAACAAAAGAATTTTTTATTTTTTTTTTGTTTTTGTTCTTGGGACTCTATAGTGCCAAATTGGCTTGAAAAAAGAAACAAGAAAAAAAAAACGCTTGCGTGTTTTTGGTGGGCGGTAATGTTTCGTCTTTATTCTAAATAAATTTTATACAATTTGGCAAAGGTGCAAAATTCCTGTTTGCTCGCATTTTTTTGTTTTGTTTCGCGCAAAAAAAGTCGTACCTCTAGATTTTGATAGTGGACGTACCAGAAGCGAGTAATTGGACAGAATTGCTAAGAAACTCGATGAGACGACACGGGCGCGTCGTCGTACGGCTTAACCCGGTCGCAATATTTCTAATCTCAAAACTTCATTGTGAAGTCCTCTCGTATCAACCTTCTACAAAGTTACATAACCCGTAAGTGGGAACACCATAATCCGCAGCGCGTGTGTAAAGCAGGGTCCCTGCAGGAGTGCACTTATGGAATCATTGGGTAAGTCCTTTTTATCATTATTTAGAGGTTGCGCCGCAAAGTAAATACAGTCCACTACCAGCTAAGACATTACGTATTAGCTACCCGCAAAACAAATGTACTCCATTACGTGTTCGGTTTCAATCCAAGAAATGATACATTATATCGCTAATCTGGTGAAATTATTTTCCCGGAGTGAAAGCGTGAAATCGAAATGATTTTTTTTTTGACAATACTGGGACCTATTACCTGTTTGAAAAGTGACAAAATGTTTTTTTTTCTTCAATCGGCCTGGAAAGTAGACTTTGTCGATTAGATTTGTGCTCGCAAAGTAGACGTTTCGTGACGACCTCCACTTTGCCGCTTTAGAGCGTCAAACTACGTCAAAATCCTTCACTTTGTCGCTCTAGAGCGGCAAAGTAGTAAAAGCGCTTGAGTAAAAGCGCTTGCTTTCACGACTGGTTTCTTTGAACCTGAACTATTTTTTATCAAATGCGATTGTAAAAAAAATCAAATGTGCATTTGCCAATATCAACAATATCTTTTGATCAGCAAAGTACCACTTTGCGCTCTTAATACACAAATAGCTATCGTGCAACTGTCCGCGAAATTGAATTTCGCGAAACGCCACATTTTACCTGCAAAATGTGTCAACTTCTTAGAAACGCTATGCATGCCACAATGTCCACCAGGTCAAATAAAATTTTTCAAATGCCTAAAAGACCGTACAAGCGAAATAAATAAAGTTACAATAAAATATCATCAAGCAAAGTAATAGAGAATAGGCCCCTTGCATCAAATTTTTTTATTGCTGATTTCAATAGTCCATGAAAAATAAGTCAACACGTGTTTTTTCTTTTTCTTGTTAGTCAAAAATTGACGGAGATACAACACTTTGAAATGTCCTTCCGACGTCATAACTTAGGTATAATACGTTGTGAGTTGTGACGTCGCACATGCTCAGTATATCTATATAAAAAAAACTTAATATTTGTATAACTTCCGGAATAATCATATTTGGGTGAAATTAAAAAAAAGTAACTATTATTTTTCGATTTCCTACAGTTTGCAATAAACAATAATCAATTTAATTTTCCATGCAAGTACCCTATTTCATTAGGTATAATAATCTGCAGGTTTGCTATTTAATTTTTTTGCGAATTCTGAAGCACTAAAATGAAAATGGCCACCGCGCCTAAAGTGAAACAGCTAGCAAAAAAAGTCATGAGGCAAAGTTGATCAGAATGTAATTATCTACAAGTTTTGTGAAGGTCATTTTGTCGAAAAAAATAAATAAATAAGAAAAAGCCCAATAGGGCCGAACGCACAAGGGTTTCAAGTGTGATTTTTTGGCTCAATACTCAGGACACACTCCCCAATCAGCCCTGGAAAAATCAGCCTGCCCTCGCGCAAAATTTTTTGCGGCGCAGGTATAAATTTCTTGGGCTAGATTCAAAAATTTCGAAAATAGATAATATCCGAGTACGAATGTAAATTGTTTAACTTTTTTTCTACCATTATGATGATATAATGTATTAGCTATTTGTGTATTAAGAGCGCAAAGTGGTACTTTGCCGACCGGCAATATCTTGAGATTGGCAAAGCCACTTTTCGCTCGTAATACACACATGATTTTTTCTACAATCGCATTTAACAGAAAAATAATTGAAAGAAACCAGTTCATTTATGTCGGGGAAAAAGAAAGTCGGGAAAAAAAAATGCGGGAAAAAAAAATTGGGAAAAAAGAAATTCGGAAAAAAAAATCGAGAAAAAGTCGGGTAAAAAAAATGGTCATGAAAAAAAAAATAGTCGGGAAAAAAAGAGTCGGGAAAAAAAATGGTCGGGTAAAAAGAATTGTCGGGAAAAAAAAATGGTCCGGAAAAAAAAAGTCGGGAAAAAAAATTGTCGGGAAAAAAAAAGTCGGTCGGGAAATGAAAATAGTCGGGAAAAAAAAGGTCGGGGAAAAAAAAATGGTCGTGAAAAAAAAAAATTGGGAAAAACAATTGTCGGGAAAAAAAAAGTCGGTCGAGAAATGAAAATAGTCAGGAAAAAAAGTCGGGAAAAAAATGGTCGAAAAAAAAAAATTCGGGAAAAAAAAATTGGGAAAAAAAAATGGTCGAGAAAAAAAATGGTCGGGAAAAAAAATGGTCGTGAAAAAAAAAAGTTGGTCGGGAAAAAAATTGGCCGGGAAGAAAAAATGGCCGGGAAAAATAAGTCAGGAAAAAAAAAGTCGAGAAAAAAAAAGAGAAAAAAAAAGAGAAGAAAAAGTCGCAAAAAAAAAGTTGGGAAAAATAATTGCCGGGAAAAAAATTGTCGGGGAAAAAAAAAAGTCGGAAAAAAAAAGTCGGGAAAAAAAATGTTCGAAAAAAAAAATGCCGGGAAAAAAAAATTGGGAAAAAAAAATGGTCGAGAAAAAAAAAGTCGGGAAAAAAAAAGTCGGGAAAAAAATTGTCGGGAAAAAAAATAGTCGGGAAAAAAAAAGTTGGGAAAAAAATGGTCGGGAAAGAAAATTGGGGAAAAAAAATGGTCGAGAAAAAAAATGGTCGGGAAAAAAAATGGTCGTGAAAAAAAAAGTTGGTCGGGAAAAAAATTGGCCGGAAAGAAAAAATGGCCGGGAAAAATAAGTCAAGAAAAAAAAAGTCGAGAAAAAAAGAGAAAAAAAAAAAGAGAAGAAAAAGTCGCAAAAAGAAGTCGGGAAAAATAATTGCCGGGAAAAAAAAATAGTCGGGAAAAAATAGTCGTAAAAAAAAATGGTCGGGAAAAAAAATTGTCGCGAAAAAAAAAGTAGTGAAAAAAAATGGTCGGGGAAAAAAAAAGTGGGAATAAAAAATTGGGAAAATACAAAATTTACAAGCGAGTGTTTTTAGTACTTTGCCGCTCTAGAGCGGCAAAGTAAAGGTCATCAGGATACGCCTACTTTGCGATCACAAATCTAATCAAAAAGGCCTGCTTTCCAGGGCGATTGTAGGAAAACATATTTAAGTCCACTCATCAAAAAAAATACAGTCTGTTTACAGACCTAGGTATTTTGAGTTGTACCTATAGTTTAGTAACAGTGAATTAGATAAACAGAAACATTATATTTATTGTTGAATGTTCCAGGAGATACCTGAAGGTTTCAGTATCAAAGAAAAAATAGAGAACATTTTAACAAATGCGAGTGCTGCAGAGAAAAGAGCCAGAACGATGGATTTAGATGATTTTATGTCGTGAGTAATTTAATTTTTTTCATAAATTCACTATATTAACATATTTTTCATTACAGGCTATTACATGCATTCAATAGCGAAGGAATACATTTTTCATAGTTTGTATATTATATTTATATGAAATAAAAAAAGATTTAAAGTACTGAAAAATTGAAAAATTGATAAACCACCCCAAATTGCTTGACACGATTTTATTTCTGAAACTATAAGTCCAAATTAGCTGAAGTTTCCAGGGATTGAGGTCCTCTACTGAAATAAAAATCGCTGAAAATTTCAGCTTTCTATCTCTAAAAAAAAAAAAGTTATGACCTATCAAAGTTTTCCAAAATCTAAATTTATTAGGTTACCTTCTTACTAAAACGATGAAATTTCAATTTTTTTTTGTTGAGTTTTTATGTCCTTTAGGATACTCCAAATTTCATACACTAAATTATTCTGAGCCAGATTCTAGAAAAAGAATGGGTAAAGTAAGACGAAATTAAAAATGTTAATATAATATATTGACCATTTATTTACACCATCATCATCATCATCATATTTTAATATCTAAATTTAAATATCATTACATATCAACGGTAAGAACTGCCTCTCTAAGTTGCTATGCATACGTCTGCTTTGTACAAAACATGTCTAAAATATCTATAGAAAACTACTTTTGATTTTTTTTTGTATAAAACTCTACCTTGTATAATATATTTCAGTTAGGTAATTCATAATATACAAATTTTGCAAGGGCTAAGCAAGAAAATTACTGCCTCTTAATATGTGATGTAAAAAAAGTAGGTACCTATTGCACAAAACGAATTTTAAAATAATTTATTTCATAATGTAAGAAACTCTTCAATACAAATAAATTTTAAATATATCTTTAAAGCTATGGTTTCCTTTTCTAAGAATCTAAATAACTAATTAAATGCAAAATATCACATTCTAACCAAATATTGCATTAATAATAACTAGTATAGATTTTTCTTTGCTTAGCCCAACAATATAGTAGGTACACATCATAGCTACATTAGTGCCTATTAACAAGTGTACTTATTATAAGATGTAAGTAGGTAATTTTCGATAAAAATGATAGTGCAGTATAGGGTATATTTCCAATGTTTAAAAATCGAAATTTATGTATTATAATTGCACAAAATATAAATTTTTCATCAAAAAGACTTAACATTTTTTTATATTAACAACTTATATCAAATAACTATATTTTTTTTTTATTATATAAATTATATGTTCTGAACAAAATACAATCGTACATACATCATTATTATTGTGGTCGATGGTTTTGTTTGTATAATTTGATTTTTATGTAATTACCTCTCAAAAAATTATGTGATTATCAAATGAACAAGAGATTTTTTCTTTGATTAAATCGATCAGAAAAACTAGAATTCATCAATAACAGCAAGCTACGTCATAGAGTAAAATTGTCTAGAACTTACCATTCGGTTTGGAAATGATAATCAGCCACCGAAGATTACCACACGAATTGGAAATGGATGGCATTTGGAAAGTTATGTAGCTAGAGCCAGCAGAAATGTTTGAAATCATCACATATGTTAATCGACCAGTAGAAATAGTCGTCAGAATTCGGGAAAAAAATAAAATAAATTCATTACAGCAATCTGAAAGCGGAATACTGTTAAACAAGCTCGGAGCGTGTTCAACAATATTCTGCAATTAGTTTGCTGTAACGAATTTTTCGGTTGTTCGAACCCTATTTCTACTGGTCTATTGTTATTGAAAAAAAATTTCATCACACATTTTTGATCAACTTCTTGTAATAGGTATAGGTATTTTTGTTCAGACTTTATGCAAAATTTATGAAAATCTGAAATTATACAAACAAACTCATCCTATTTACAAAAAATTTTAACAATAAAACTTACAACCAATTGGGTCCCAAACAATTATCTAGTACGCCTACAGCATCGTACCTTTCCATATCAGTAAATATTTGTTTTAATTCGGTTAAGGCATTACTGTTCCTATTCCTAGATTCCCACAAATCTAATATACAATCGGTGGGCGATGGCTTTGTAGCGAAAAAGTTTATATACCTATCGACATGTAAAACGTGCGCTAGCATTCTCCAATCGTGACCGCGTTGAGTGGGAGGATCCAGGCAGTGGCATAATTGTTTTCTAATTTGTTTTGTCAGTCTAAAGTTAAAGTCGTCACAAGTGGACACTCCGCGATCAGTCACTATAAGGTTTTTGGCTGCTTTAGGTGTACCATCGTCGAACACTAAGTTTTTGGCACTTTTATAGTCTGATGATTTTTTTGAGTCATTAGACCGACTTGTCTCACTATGAATTGTAATTTTTGGCACTATTTCGTTGTTATGTTTTGCTGACAAAGTCGTTTTGCTATCGCTAGCGTCATCCTTACAAATTATATCAAATAGCTGTTGATAGTCGAAACCCTTCTGATGAACTTTTAGCTTGAAATTAAGATGTCTACTGACTTCATAAGATTCTACAGTGAAGCTGCAATGTAAGCTGTTGCTATTGGCCTGCCAGACGTGGGCGAAAGGAACCTCCTGATAGCTGGAGCCTGGTTTGGCTTGCCACCCATGGCTTATGGCTTCTAAATTAAGACATAAAGCATTGCCTCCATCTTGGAAAGTAATTGATCGAGGCTCATCAAGTAAATAACCTCCAAGTCGTTTTTCCTGTCCAAATACTGTTTCCATGGAACTATCTGTATCTTCGAGTATATATACTCTAATACAATAATCTACTGTTGTTTGGAAACAAAGTTTTGGTGCAAATACAGCTAACTTCAGTCTTTTAGTGGCGTTGCCATTGGTTGATTTGCCTACGATTACGAATCTTGATAGGCATTCAGTGACCAAATAGGCCGAGTCACTGTCTAACTGACAAAACACATTAGTATTTATCGTTTCTTGTCCTAAGGTCACCGCGTTTTGCCATTGGGAGTCACTACAGTCGCTCTGCAATATAGATACTGACCAATTATTTCTCAAAAGTTCTGCACAATGGGGAACTTTAAGTACAACTGCCTTATTGAGAGATACATTAGGTCCACAAGATACTACAGGGCTTAGCTGAGTCAAGTGTTCTGCTAACTTAGGCCGAAAACAATCTTCGTTGAGAATCGATAAGAAAATCTCTTGTTTCCTACTTCTGGATACAGCTCCTTCAGGAACTAGCAAATTAACTCCTGATTCAGGAAGGTTTAAAAAAGCACCAGTGCTGGCTACAGTGGCGCTCGTGTAGTTGCCACTTGTAGTTGGGGTCACTGCATAGGCCGTTGGAAGCGAGGAGAGAGGCAAAGTTACTTGTTCGGTGGCTACATCATAGGTAGAGTCAGCTACAAAAAAAAAAGTCATTTCTAATTTCATAAGATAAATAATCAGTGCCTTACAATTGTTCGTAGAGCTACTCATCTGGCTCCGCTTGCCGCTAGATGATTCTAGTGTGGAACTGGTGGCCGGCGACATCTGAATATCGGACGCAGAGGCCAGGTGGGGCACGTCATAATGGTGCTCCGACACGGACCTGGTTACCGAGGTGGCTGGCGTGGTGTACGGGTACTCGTAGCAGGCGGCGACCGTCTGAGTCAAGTCCGGCTGTAGGCTGAGAGACTTCTTGTCCTGTTCGGGAAAAAATTCTGGATGGTAGTCTGAAATTTGACGAAAATATCTTGTTTTTTGACTGTATTTGTATCAAATAAAATATTACATGATTTGATGAAGAATTAATTGTATGCTAAAGGTCATGTTAGGAATCTTTACTGAATCATTATATTAAAGATCGTTCTACGAGCGATTGTTAAAAAACAAGCTTCAAAATTTCAAACAAAACCTTTATAAAAAAAATCTAAGATAGAAAAAATAAATAAGTAAATCTAAATAATCCGGTCTATAATGTCCACTACCATTATATCATTCTGAGCAATTGTTTCTTTATTTTCATCTGCCTTTACTACAAGTTTTTGTACGTATGAATTTATTATCGCCAAACTCAACTCAAACCACACTTTTAGAGAGACCAGTAGCGCACCCAGAAAATATGTTTGGGGGGCGCCTACATTCAGGGCCGATCCTAGGGTATCGGCCGCCCGCGTGCAAAGAACATTTCCGCCGCCCCATAGAGATATAGCAGTCTCACGTAGGTGCCGGTGGTGGTAGCACGCCGCAGGTGGCAGAATTTTTTTTTGGGTGCCACGCCCAAAAGTTTTCATTTCAAGCCTCAAAATGAGTGGTGATCAATACTAGAGAGTTATTGGAACTATTAAATACTGCCTCGCAGTATTAAGGATCTGCGTTATTTTATTAGTGCATCAGCACTATTTTTCCAAGAAAAAAACAGTTATTGGAAGACTGTAGTAGGTACTAGAGTATTACCTCATTTTGTATTCATAATTTTGACAGATGATAGCTATGTTTATAAATTTCAGCCTCAAAAAGTGTTTAGTTTTGTTTGTGATTTTCTGCTGATACTCATTTTTTGATGTCACCCACAGTAAAATGGAAAACTATTGTAAAAAGTAAAGTTTCAGTAAAATTACGTCATCGTCGAAAAGCAAAACGTCAAAGTCGTCCAAAATGTCAGAAATTTGAAATAAGGGAAGTTTACTGCTTCGCACTAACCATACACAAATAAAGACAAGCAGTAACCTTATTAAGGGAATCCTTATTTTGGAACCCAAATGCGCATGCGTAGATGTCAAAATAAGGCTAATTTAAAGTCTGTTTTTTTTTTTAAAGATAAAAGTCAAAATGACAATAGAGAGTTATTGGAACTATAAAATACTGCCTCGCAGTATTAAGGATCTACATTATTTTTTTAGTACATCGGCACTATTTCTCTAAGAAAATAACAGTTATTGGAAGACTGTAGTAGGTGCTTAGTATTACCACAGCACATACAAAAACAATCAGCAGGCTAACTTGAGTGACAGCCCGTGTAATAAAGGAATTCATCGTCAAAATGTCACTAGCGGCCATTTTGGGATACGAAACAGGGCCTGATTAACGATAATTTAGGTTTTTTCTTTCCTGTGACAGAGTCGTATTGGCTTTAAATAAACTAATTTATTATTACTTATATATAAAAATGTTTATAATTACTAATTTATTATTATTATTGAATATACAAGAATGATAACAGATAACACCATAAATGACAACACGAATATATCAAAATCGTTTTGAAAATCATAGCTAAAATTCCGCTCTACACCGCACGCCTATGACCTACGTCAGAAATAAACAAATAAAATAAAATTTCGGCGCTCCTGCCGTTTAATGACAGCGTTTTGACAAAATGGAATCCCCTAATGGCGGCGTGCGCAGAAAAGATGCGCGTGAGAGTTAGCCTGCTGATTGTTTTTGTATATGCTGTGGTATTACCTTATTTTGTATTCATAATTTTGACAGCTGAGCTAATTTCATAAATTTCAACCTCAAAAAGTGTTTATTTTTGTTTGTGAGTTTCTGCTGATACCCATTTTTTGATGTTACCTAGAGTAAAATGAAAAACTATTGTAAAAAACAAATTCTCTAAGTAAAATTATGTCATCGTCGAAAAGCGAAACGTCATAGTCGTCAAAAATGTCAAAAATATTGGATAAGGGAAGTTTATTACTGCCTCACTAACCATACACAAATAAAGACAAGCAGTAGCCTTATTAAGGGAATCCTTATTTTCAGGACCAAACGCGCATGCGCAGATGTCAAAATAAGGCTAATTTAAATACTGCATGTCTTTATTGCACGTCCAATAACTCTCTAATATGTTGGCAACACAATGTAAAATTGTCAATGCTTTCAATTTTTTTATGTGAGAAAGGCTTGTGTTGCCAACAAAGTTACTAAATTTTTGACTTGGGGAATTATCTTTAAAAAAAAAACAAACTTTAAATACTGCTTGTCCTTATTGCACGTCCAATAACTCTCTAATGACAAACACTACATCCTAAACTGACTAGGGCCTGGCTTGGGCCTAGGTACGAAAGTGAAGAATGGGACTCTGTGGAAAATCAAGACACCACAGTAATAAGTCGTAAACAGTGTTGCCAGAGGTGGTACAATTGTACTAGGTTTGGTACCATTCGTTTTGAAAAAGTACGTTGGTATATTTGGTACAATTTTAATTTTTTTTATTTTTTCCAAATTCTCAAACAGTCAGCCTACTGCCTACTTAGTCTAATGTCGATGTTCTAATTAACTTGTATTTCTGTATCCAAATTTGATATAACAATAATTTTTGACTCGTAGATAGATGGCGTCACCAATGTAACACGTAATAAAAAAAAACTAGAAGCCCCGTACTTTAAATCGGTTTTCTTGATCGGAAAAGCGGAAAATCCAAAGAAAAACCATTGAAAAATTACATTCCAAAGCCTATTTGATGAAGCTTATGTTTTTGTTACTTACCCCGTTGACAAACTCAAAATTTTTGATACAAAATGAAGGAAACTCAAAGCCTCGTACTTTAAATCGATTTTCCCGATCGAAAACAGCCCGGAAAAGTGGAAAATTCGAGGAAAAATTGGATAAAATGGTAAACATGTCAAATGAAAATGGCCTACTGTCAAAAATGACAAATGATATTTATTACAAGGACTCCTTGATTGAAGTTAGCCACAAACGGCGTTGCCACATCAAAAGCATTTTAAATGGGATTTTGCAAATTATGGCATTTAAAAGTGGAAATTTTTGCTAGAAAATGAAGAAAACACAAAGCCTCGTATATTAAATCGCTTTTTTCCATTAAAAATCCCCGGAAAAGTCGAAAATTCGAGGAAAAACTGGCAAAAAATCACGAGACGTCACTTCAAAATGGCCGACTAAAAGCAACATTGCCACATTACATCTCGGAAAACAAAAATAACATTTTAAAAGGGTTTTTTGTTTAAAATTCAATTTAATAATTAATCAATAATGATTATAATAATTAAAATTCCCTAGATAAAACATTGAAAACTTGTTTTTAGTTTAATTTTAATGAAAATGACATTACAAGGTTTACTTGTTGACTATAGTAGAATAGACAAAGACAACGATAAAGTAGTATATGTTTGCAAAAACCACCGTTTTCTGAAAAAAGTAAAAATCTTAAGAAAACCCAATAGAAAACCAACATTGCAAAGTCAACAATAAAACTTTGAATATTCCTGGCTCTTTGATTGGGCGCTGAAAATCGCATTTTGAATATTCCCAGTTTTTGATTGGCTCCAAATTACCCGCTGACCAATAGAATTATAAACTAGCCCCCGTGATTAAAAATAACTCCGGCCCTTCGGGCTCTCGTATAACTCCGGCCCTTCGGGCTCGCATATAACTCCAGCCTTTCGGGCTCTCGTATAACTCCAGCCCTTCGGGATCGCATATAATTGACAGTTTTCCCGATCGAAACCGGCTTGGAAAAGTGGAAAATTCGAGGAGAAACTGGATAAAAACACTCGAAAATGGCCGACTGTCTAAAATGCCAAATGAAATTACATTACAAGATCTATTTGAACAAAAGCGATGTTGCCATAATTACAATCTCAAATATAATGTTTTTCCAGATTTTAGTGAGTAAAACAAAGAAAATAAGGTAGGATACGTTAGTAAAAAACCAAAAGCGATTATAAATGAGTAAGACAAAAAGCGAGAAAAAGTAGGAAACAATTTAAATAATCAGTTGGTCGAGCCAAACTTTCATCAGAGTAAAATTTCGATTGTTCCCGGTTCAAACACAATTTTTTTTTGACAATTTACGACTTCATTTTCGGGACCACCTACGATTTTTATGACTTTTTTTTATCAACTGACAGCCTTGTGATTCAGATTGAGGCCCACAACAGCAACGTTGCCACATTTTAACGGTAATCTTGGAGCATTTGTAATTGTAAATATAAAAACTTGACAAGTGGCAATTGACATCAAGAAACGATTGTTATGATGTTGTAGGCTGATTGAAATTTTTAACTTTTGGCAACACTGTAACGCTAGAGGATTGAAATGGCGTTTTTTTTTTTAAATCATGAGCCCGAAGGGCGAGAGTGTTTTCAATCTTGAGCCCACAGGGCAACAAAGAAAAGCCACTTGTATCAAGTTTTAAAGAAAACAAGGCCTACTTTGAAACGTCAATTTTTTAACGTTTGTTGTCTCATAAGCAGTATTGCCATATGTTTTTTCCAAATCTCCAGCCTGAATGGCCGGTGTTGTTTTAAATTACATTACGAGCCCGAAGGGCCGAGGATATACGAGCCCCAAGTGCCGGAGTTATATGAGTCCGTTCATTGTCAACTAATTTTAATACCTATTATGAATATTACAGGTCTGTGATGTCCTTAGATGTTTTGGGCCGCACGCGCGCTACACTGAAGGAATCAGCGTGTCCTCCCTGGCCGAGTGGCTCGGGTAACCCGCTCTAGTACAATTTTTCTTTAATTTTGGTACAAAAAATTTTTGCTCTCTGGCAACACTGGTCGTAAAACTTACCCACCGTATAACATACCCACCCTGCACTTGGATGTCTATGGTATAGTTTTTCCAAAGTTAATTGGAACAAGGTGAACATAAATTATAACTGGTGGCTGAGTAGTGGCAGTGCATTTTTTATGGAAATTCTCAGTGACTGACTACACCAGTTACCTTGTTCCAATTGAATTTAGAAATACTATACCAATAAAGTTGGTAATATTGTTCCCGCTAACAATATTACCAACTATATTATACAGGGTGTTTGGAAGGTCGATGCAAAGTCTTGGGAAGGTGATAGGGGAAGTTATTTAGACTTAATTAAGCCAAACATACCTTAGTACAAAGTCTTACGGTTTTCGAGTTTTTTAAACGTTTCGGATTTCTTTAAAAAAATGCAATTTTTCACTTTTTTTCTCCTTTTATCTCTAAAATAAAAGATGACGGTTTGATGATATTTTTTTTTTTTGATAGCAGAACGTTTGTCTTTTCTGAAAGTGTAAAGAAAAGAAAACCACACTGACTACAAAAAAATAATAAATACATTTTTGGTAATTTTTCTTTTTACTGATAAAAAATTACTTTTTCTACAACTGTCAAAAAATGATGATGTTTGCACACTCATGACAGTTTGCGAAGTGACACTTTTTTCCCAGGTATTGATTTCTTAACGTTCCCATGACACCAGTGTGCGAACTAGCTATTTCGCACACTAGGGTGCACACTAGGAAAATGAAGAATTTTTTTAAATGTCCTGAAGCTTTTTAGCTCCAACATACCAAAATTTGATTGGAGAAAAATCAAAGATAGCGGAGTTACGATTTTTCAGTCCCAGAGAGACACTAAGTGATATTTTTACAACACAGATTATGGCCTGACTTAATTTTTTTCTAGGAAATCTAGGAAACTTTGCAAAATTAAGATTTTTTTCAAATATCCAGAAACCTTTCAGCTTCAACATACTAAAATTTGATTAAGAAAAAAGCAATGATAGGGGAATTACGAATTTTTTAATTCCAAAGAGACACTAAGTGATATTTTTGCAATAAAAATTGTTGCCTGATTTTTGATCTTTTTCCAGGAACAGTTGCGCACCCAGAAAATATGTTTGGGGGGGGGGGTACATAGGTTGTGGCTTAATTGTGACTGAAAATTGAGGTTTCAGGGTGTCACCCCGTGAATGTGCCACATTTTTACGTGAAAGTAAAGTATTGAAGGGGCAGCCTGGGGGAGGGGCCCTGGCCCGATGGCCCCCCCCTGGGTGCGCCACTATTAGAGACCCATGAAGACTGTTTAGCTATTCAAATTTAAAATGATTATTGTTGAACAAGTATATTATTTCAACAGTTAGGACATGTTAATTTCACATTTTGTGAAGTAGGTATTTGAATTACTTTCTGGGGTATATGAATTACCTTTCACTTTCTGGGGTATTTGAAATATTTTAATTATTTTGAGCACAAATGCCCAGTATTTGAATCACTTTTTTTGTAAATCCAAGTACCAAATACAAATACTTTATTTAAAGTATTTGCAGAATCAAGTACAAATATCCAAAAATAAAAGTATTTGAATTATAGTACTTCAAATACTAAAAAGTAATTGAAATACATTTTCCAAGTAATTTACTTGAAGTACTGACCGCTCTGCCACTGGGAACAAGATTGGTCATACAGTTTGTTTTCGATAAGTTGATGTTCACTTGTGTGAATTGGTTTTAATTTAGTGACTACATTTTTCATAGGACAATGGCCGTTTGCAAACGATCAGAACGTTGGTCGAAAAATAAAAACTAAGGCCAAGTCCAACACTAGTATGGGTAAAACATTGGTGTATCGTTACACCACATACATGCACCACTTCTCTCAATGTCAGTTGTCGGTTTATTGAAATTAGCATTTTGTATCTGCTAGACCGAATCCTCCGCCTAATAAATTACGCCGGGAACTAAGTCAAATGATTTAATCGCCCAGTGTTCTATGCACGTTTTACATAAATTCAACTGAAACTGCACGGAGCCCGTCTATTATTATAGCATATGTTTTCCTATCTCGATGGGATCTTAATTGAAAATATCTAGCGCAATAAATGTCATACATTTGTTATTTCGGGGAATAATTTGCGTGTTCGGCTATCCACGCATGTATCGTAACAATGCGGTTTTGTTTTGGTCGACGAAACAAAACTTTCTGATAGTATGTATGGATCGATGTATTATAGAACAATTATTATATCACTAAAAATAAACATTACTCACCACTTGCTGCCATATTGTACAAGCTCTGATGCTGCCCTTTTTTTCTATACAATCGTATGACAAAAAACGAAAGAAGGCACACTAAAAATATTGCCACTGTTAATCCAATGTAGAGTAGAAAGTCGTTTTGGGTATTTTGGATGTTAGCTGAAACAAAAACAAAATCTGAATTAATAAATTGAACTAAATTCTAATTCTATTATTCTAAATATTTTCTCAAGAGTTCGGAAAAAATTTTGCTGAATTTTCTTATAGCTTTTGTCCCAACACTAAAAAATCCTTTCTAAATTAGATCAACACCATTCACCTATCTCTCAAGCTGATTGAAACAGCTGGCTTTGACCTGAAAACAAGATTAGCTTACATTTCACCCCTGAAACAAGCTTCATGGCAATCTTGTTTATTTATTGGATTTTCCCAAATAAACCCGGTACACATAACGTTCGCCTAAGAAAAAAAACTGGAAATAACAAATTTTCTCTTAAATTTTCTTTCGTCATTTCCCAAGAGGGAGGACGACCGTGAACGGCCTGAGGCATTCAAATTTTCCTCAGCGATGTTTGTGAATAGTGTTTCTTTGAAATCAAATAATCGAGGATGATTAGGGTGGTTATTGAGGAGAGTTTGTAAATATAATATTGGTAATTTAAAAAGCCATCAAAAATATTATACATTATTAGATTAGGTTTATATTACCTTCCTTTATTATTTCGTATATAAGACATATTTAGCTTGTGCTAGTTGTATTATAAAACAAAAAACAAATAATTCCCCTTTTCAATGTTAAACATAAGCTTTAGCCACTGTAAAAGCTCACGATATTATAAAGATGCTGAGTGAGCGAGAGCGGTACTGCCTGGAAAAGTACCGTCATATCAAGGAATCGCCCACACGATTGCAGGCGTCAGCAGTATTTTATTATAAATACGGCGCGCAGAGCCTTCTCTCCACATTCTCTTGTTTTGTAGCTTTTAGACTATAGCAATTAGAATCAACGATTCTTTTGTTCTCGGCTTTTGCCGCAGTAATTTAGAATCTAGTATAACTTCTTAGTTTATAATAAAATAAATAGTTTTTAAAAACAAGATTTACAAAATTTGCTTCTATAAATCTAAAATGGCAAATTTTAGATTAAAACAGACATAAGCAAATTTTGTCAGAATGAGAAATCCCGGCCCAAAAATAATCCGATGAGATGTCACTTTTGGCTTGAATTATTTTCTTGTTTCCTTTCAGTAATACCCCCCATTTTGTTTTATAAAAGGATCGAGTTTGTCATTTGTTTGGGTCCGTGTGGATGATGTTCTACGAGTTATGAATTATGATTTTTGTCGAATGAATTATACAAATCATAAACTTGTATCTTTTGGCACTATTTCCACTACCGGAATATTGAAATAAGGTACTTATAACCAAAAAGGAAATAGTATTATCAAAGAATTAATAAATGCAGTTTTGATAATGGTAAACTTATGAGCAATTATGAGGTTTTAGTCAATATGTATAATAATAGTCTAGGAGGCAGTGACGATTTTCGGCACTTATTTTCTCAGTCAGACAACATGGATAGCATTATAGGGTTTTTAATTCTAAGCAAAATTCATATATTTTTAGGGGGGGGTTTCCGATAGGTTGAGGCACAAAATGCGTTAGAGCTTACGAATGCACGGCCCTTTTTTTTCCAGTGATAAAAATCAATGGCGGCTCATCAGAGGAGGCAGGGGAGGCTAAACCTCCCCCAAAAAATTGAAAATTCAATATCAATTTGTTATTCCTGATTTCTAATTAAAATAATAATTAACAAATTACACTTTCCAATTTTCGATATTTCAATATAATTTAGAAAAATCTGACAACATTATTTCAATCAATCCCACGCCTCCACGACAAATATTTGTGAATCTGGGATACTCAGTAATACCGGCCCGAAGGGCCGGAGTAATACGAGTCCGAAGGGCTAGAGTTATACGCGAGCCCGAAGGGCCGAAGTTATACGCGAGCCCGAAGGGCTAGAGTTATTTTAATCACGGGGCCTAGTTTATAATTCTATTGGTCATCGGATAATTTAGAGCTAATTAAAAACCGGGAGTATTTAAAATACGATTTTTAGCGTCCGATCAAAGAGTCGGGAATATTCAAAAACTTTAGTTTTATCAAATTGGCTTTGGAATGTTGGTTTTCTTAAGATTTTTACTTTTTTCAGAAAACGGTGGTTTTTGCAAACATATACTACTTTATCATTGTCTTTGTCTTACTCACTATAATCAATAAGGAAACCTTGAAATGTCATTTTCATTGAAATTAAACTAAAAACAAGTTTCCTATGATTTATTTGGGGAATTTTAATTATTATAATCATTAATAATTAATTATTAAATTGAATTTCAAACAAAAAAACCCTTTTAAAATGTCATTTTTGTTTTCCGAAATGAGATGTAGCAACGTTACTTTTAGTTGGCCATTTTGAAGTGACGCCTTGTAATTTTTTGCCAGTTTTTCCTCGAATTTTTCACTTTTCCGGGGCTTTTCAATGGAAAAAGACAATTTAACATACGACGTTTTGAGTTTTCTTCATTTTCTAGCAAAAATGTCCAGTTTTAAAATGACATAAATAACAAAATCCCATTTAAAATGGTTTTTTTGGAAGTTTTGATGTGGCAACACCGTTTGTACCAACCTCAAATCGGTTTTGTAATAAATGTCATTTGCCAGTTTTGACAGTCGGCAATTTTTAATTGACGTGTTTACATTTCTATCCAGTTTTTCATCGAATTTTCCGCTTTTCCAAGCCGTTTTCGTCTAGAAAACCGATTTTAAATACGAGGCTTTGAATTTCCTACATTTTGTGCTAAAAATTCCCAGTTTTCCGATGGAGTAAATGACAAAAACTCAAATTTCATTAAGTAGGCTTTGGAATGTCATTTTTAGAGGTTTTTCTTTGAATTTGTCCGCTTTTTCAGGGCTTTTCTGGTCGGAAGAACCGATTTAAAGTACGAGACTTTGAGTTTTCTTCATTTTCCACCAAAAATTTCCAGTGTTTTACGGGGTAAGTGAGAAAAACTTTAGTTTTATCAAGTAGGTTTTGGAATGTCGTTCTCGTTGGTTTTTTTTTTTGGAATTTTTTTTAAGGTTTTTGGGGTCCAGGGATCGTTTTCAATCACTTTTTTTTCTCGAAATTCGCAAAATAAAAAAAAACTTTTTTGATGTTGACAGCTGTCAATTTTTTTTGACACAAATCGATAGTTAGCGTCGCGAAACTGCCTTGTACCGGGGTTTGATTTTCGTAACTTTTATAGTAGAGCGGGGAAAAAGTCGAACATGTGTCAAATTTGACAGGTGACATTTGTCGATATTGCCAAAGTGTCGTGCGACAAAAGTTTTATCCGCACGAACCCGTTCATTGCTAACTGATTTTTCATACTCCGGCCCTTCGGGCCGTAATCTTTGAAAGAAAAAGACGTCATTTTGTATCGATTGTCAAAAAAACTCAAGGTTAGAAATTTCAATTTTTATAATAAATCATAAATCAAAAATTTAAATTTTTTGTCAAAAAATGTCAAAACACCAGTTTTTGCACCAGTTACTATGCAATTATCTGATAATTTGCACTAGTGCAAATTATCGCGTAATTACAATCTGATTGGTTCAAATCAACAATCAAAACATGTCAATTTATTGTTGGAATACCAGTTTTGACAGATGTATGAAATTCTCTCATAAAATTTTAGTGAATTCCGAGAAATTTTTAAGAAATTACATGAAATGTCAATGAAATTTCAAAGAATTTTATGAAAATTTTGAGGAATTCGAGGATATTTCAGTGGTAAAATTTTGAGGAATTTTAGTAAAGTTAAAAAAAAAAAATGGAATTTTGAAATTGAAATCTTAGTGAAATTCCGAGGAATTTCATGAAATCCTATACTGTAATAATTAGCCTCCTCACTTGAAATAGTCACGAGCCGCCACTGATAAAAATAGGTCTACTAATGAGAAGTATACTGAAGTTACGTAAAAAAATAGTCCGGCTAATCTGTGAGTATGAATAATACGTCTGGCAAGTGAAAAATGAAAATCCGAAAAATTTCAGCCAGACTCACTTTCCACTATCTGAGATAAGCCAAATTGCTATTTTCATATACCGTAACTTTACTTTAGAACGGTCAGGTGACTTTGTGACACATGGTACCAGGCGCACCAAATCCTCAACAGTTCGTGCAATTCTCAACCGACAGCCTTGCGATTGTGCTCAAGGCATTCCAAAAAACGCGCCAACAAATCAGTATATTAATTAATGTTGTAAAAGACGGCGTCCAGCTGTGCGTGCGGAAAATATCAACAACAGATAATTTCAATATTTTACTTCTGCTGTAAACTTTACCTTGCCCAACTAAGATCTCATGTAGCCAGGATTTGAGTTTAGGTAGTGTTCTTTGTAGTTTTGGCTATTCACTGCTGAATTAACATTTTCATAATTCTAATCAACAAGCATGTGACGCCATATTTATTAAAATTTCAACATATTTCGTGGTGAAATTGTGACACAATTTATGTGGTACTAACAGTGTTAGTACCATTTTTTTTTCGAGTAACCTTTTTTTAGTTAATTTTTTGAGTTACCTTAGTTCCAAATTAGGTATTATGTTTTTTTACTTTTATATGTACCTATTAGACAAATTACCCATATAAGTTCAATGAAATTTGCTTTTGGGCGCACTTTGTGACACATCAGTTAGACGTGCTCACGACTAGAGGGATGAATTTAAAATAAACCTAATAAAATTAGTCCCATTTGTATCTAATTTGTGTCATATTTTCGGTCCGCTAAAGGAAGACTTTGGACTTGCGTGCAAATTTTTAGTTGTCACAAAGTCCCCCCATTGTTAGGGGTGAGGTTGTGACAATTATTTTTGTAAACCACGGCTCTACTTCTAAAAATTTTCAAAATATCTCATTGCATTTTAAAAGCCAAATGATGCGAGTTTATCATTGACCTACCAGAAATTAATTTTTTCTCTTTAGATTCAGAAAAATCAACCGAAACCGTAAAATTTGTTACAAAGTAACCTCGTTTTAGGGTACCACTTTATGTTCTATTGTAGTGAATGTGAAATATTTATGACTGGGAAAATAAGTGTTCTTGTATTTTT